TGAGTGCGTGCGCGACTTGAATCAATCGTGTATTTAGAATGAGAGTGAGAGAGATAGAGATAGATAGAGAAGAAAAACATAAAAAATGTTTACGTGACACTAGCATCCACTTTATTATTATTATTATTATTATTATTATTATTATTATTACCTTTCTTTCGTACACTTACGAACGTCAGAGTTGTTGGTGTTCTAATATAATTAGAACACCTGGTCTTATATACAGTTACAAGTATTAAAAAAAAAAAAGAGTTAATTAGTTTCGTCTGCTGTTACAAGTAGTATATACTACTTAAGTCCGCATAATCCGTTTTAGTTTTGTCCGTTCAAAGTCCACTGAAAAAAAAAAAAAAAAAAAAAAAAGAATCGAATGAATTTTGCACTCGTATGTCGTTCGTTAATATTTCTAACACTGCTACCACTACCCACTACTACTACTACCACTACAACTACTACTGCTACTGCTACTACTACTACTGCTACTACTAATGCTCTACCACTTTAAACGACTGACATTTTTTTTTTTTTTAATTCTGTGATAAAGAAATTACAAAATGTTTTGGGAAATTTTTCGACCTGACTCCTATAATTTAGGCTTTCAAAAAAAAAAAAAAAATTGATAACAAATTGTGAAAGACGGTAAAAAAAAATCTTTATAGGAAAACCTTTTGATAACAGATAATGCCTTTATCATTTTTTTTTATTCTATTAGAAACTAATAATAATAATAATAATAATTCGAAGATTATTTATTAACGTTCGAAATATATATGTATGTATTTAATTTTCGGTTACGTTCACGCATTAACGTCCCATACATTTTAAATACGTTAATATTATTATTATTATTATTATTATCATTAATTCAAAAAAAAATTTAGTGTCGTGTAAATAGACGACAGATAACACTTGTTGAAAAAAAAAAAAAAAAAATTTTTTTACGAGTGGTTTTTAACGTTTTTTTTTTTTTTTCGAAATTGTATTCATCGTCATAGTTTAGGGTCTTTCCCGACACGTTAAATAAAAAATATTATTATTATTATTATTATTATTATTTTGAATTTATCGTTACGTCAAATGACAACAAGTCGAAAACAAAAAAAATTATTATTATTATTATTATTATTATTGTTTTTTTTTTTCGAGTGGTCCGACGTGTAAGTTTTTTACGTGTAAATATTTCGGGGTAAAGCGCGTTCAGAAATCTCTTTTTTTTTCTTCTTTTTATTCGTTTTTTTCGGACCACACGAAATTCAAATTTAGCAACAAAACGAAAGAGAAACTTGTTTTTATTTTTTTAATTGTGGATCTTTGACGGTTGACTTTCTAAGTTTTAATATTATTATTATTATTATTATTATTATTATTATTATTATTATTATTATTATTATTATTATTATTAATTTTTTTTTTAACTGGAAGGTTTTATTTTCCCTTTTTAAAAATAATTTTTTATTAATAATTAAAATTGGTGATTTTTTTTTTTTTTTATTGCATTCAATCATCACGAGTCTTCCATGTTGTTTTCTTTTCTCTCTCTCTCTCTCTCTCTCTCTCTCTCTATCTCTTTCTCTCACTCTATCTATCTGTATCTGTTTTTCTCTCTCTCTCTCTCGGTAGAGAAAGTCAGTTAGCGTTAGTCAGTCAGTCAGTCAGTCAGTCAGTCGTCTTTGTCGTTTTTCGGTTTTCCGAATGCGTGCACGAGAAAAAGGGTAGGCTAATAATAATAATAATAATAATAATATTAATTTAAAGGTCATCAGCTTGTAGTGAAGCAGTGTGTAGGCCTCATATAAAAATTATGGCGAATGACCTTGAGCATTCAAAGTCCCTGGTCACGTGGTCTTACATAATTATCATTATCAGAACGGCGTCATACCGAGTTGTGTCGAAACGCGAGACGTATGTTTAATATGGGCGCAACACGAGTCGGAATATTTTCGGTTCACGTTATCAGTCTTAATTATTTATCGCCACGAATTTACATGTTTTACGTCTTCTCAATGATTCTCGTTTCTTATTATTATTATCATCATCATCATCATCATCATTATTATTATTATTATTGGTATTTTTTCGTAAATTTTCTTTCGATTTTCTTTTCGTCCGCGTTTTTTTTTTTTTTTTGTTATGTTTTCATTTTACGCTTTAATTTATTATTATTATTATTATTATGTGATGATAATCAAAAAAAAAAAATTCCATGGCGATAAATGAACGAAAGACGAAAAAAAAAGAAAAAACTCGTTAAAAACGACTACCATACTCGATAATAAACGATAATAATGATTATATTTAAATTTAAAAATTTTTCCCGCCTTTTTTTTTGTTTTTAAATTTAAATTGAAATTTTAAGGGGAAAAATCACATGGTCGAATTTCAATCTGAGTTTTCGTCACAGTTATTTTTTTTTTAAATTTTATTTTATTTTCTTCTCTCTCTTTCTCTATCTCTCTCTCTGGGGGTCCTTTTCTCTGCTTCCCTCCCCTCCCCCCCTCGTAATAGAAGAATCGAAAAAAAGGAAGAAAAGAAAATCGCAAATACGTTCGCGTGCGCGCGCATGTGTGTTTGTGTATCCCGTTATAACGTCTCCAGCATCCCGATCGTTCGAGGTCAAAGTTTGCTTACGAAACATTTTTTTCGCTTGTGAAAAACAAAATGGCTGCATGTTAAATTAATAAAAATAAAAATAATAATAATAATAATGTCTTTGCAATAACACTCTTTAAAATAATTTTTTTGGAATGGAAAGAGCATGTTTTCTGTCATTACTATTATTATTATTATTATTTTTATTATTATTATTATTATTATTATTATTATTATTATTATTATCATTTTTAAATTCTACGCAAATGTAAATGAGTAAAAAAAAAAAAAAAAAGAAAAAACACGCGTGAGCACATACGCATTTCCACGTCAAAACGCATGTAAATAAAACAAAAAAGGAGGGAAATGGAGGGAAATTTAAATGAATTTAAAAAAAATTAATAATAATAATAATTTATTCATATCGATGATGATGATGATGATGATGATTGTAATAAATAAATAAAAATAACTATTTACACGCGTTCCAGAATGAAAAAAAAAAAAAGGAAAAAGGAAAACTCATTCGGTCAATTATAAATAATAATAATAATAATAATAATGATAATGATAATAATGATAACGTAACGGCGTTATATTTATACGTGGAAAAGTGTGAAAATTATTTTGGCGTCGTTTCGAATTAAATAAAAAGGAAAATTATTTATTTATTTATTTATTAAGATGCCAAGAATTTTTTTTTTTTTTTTACGTTTGGACATGTCTTCGACGTCCGAGCCAAAAAAAAAAAAAATTAATAATAATAATGATGATGATGATGATGATAATAAATGTAACAATTTAATACTTGGAAAAAAAAAAAATTTCGCGATCATTCGTTCGTTTATAATCGTCGTTTACGACGTTTTCATTTATTTAACGTCTTATTAATATCATCATTGTCATTATCATTATTATTATTATTATTATTATTATTATTATTATTATTATTATTATTATTTTTATTTTTATTAATTATTATTACTATCAAAAACATAATTGCAAAATTTTATAAAATTTAAATGGGTAATTAAATAATTAGGTATATTAAAAGTCCATTTCGTCGTTCGTATATTTATTATTTATTACCTTTTTTTTTTTTTTTTTTACTGATAATTGTTTTCATCATCATCATCATTATCATTATTTAATTGTTATCACTTATCACGGACGTTACATTTAAAAAAAAAACAAAAAAAAACAAAAAAAAAAAAAACAAAAACAAAACAAAAACAATCACGAAGTGATTGAAACGAAAACGCTATAAATAATTTTTTTAAATTTCGCGCGAAAAATTCAATTCCGGTTTATTGTTATTTATTTACTCTATGAATTTTCTTTTACGTAAACAAAACAAAACAAAAGGTAAACAAAAGAAAAAATTTGCCGCTGATTTGATGAATTTAATCAATTTATTATTTTATTTATTTAGAATGAATGATTGATAGGATAGGGTAGTAGCAAGTAGTGAGTAGTGGTTTTATTTACACGTAGATTATTATCATTATTATCATTATTATCATTATCATTATTATTACTATTTTTTTTTCTCTCTATTTAGTTTTTATTATTATTATTATTATTATTATTTTCATTTTTTTTATTTTTTTTATTTTTTTTTCTGTCGGATTGATTTTCTTCTTTTCTCTTTTCAGACTGTTGTTGTTGTATGAATAATTATTTACTTCCGGAACATGATGAAATTTTAAATTTAAATTTAAAAAAAAAATTCTCAGTAATTATACATGAGTAGTAGTAATAATAATAATAATAATACTACTACTACTACTCCTACCGAGCATTATTATTATTATTATTATTTTTTTTTTTTTAATCACTTATCACAATAAAATCGATGAATGATTTATTTTAAAACGAATAATAGTAAATAATAATAATAATAATAATACGTAATTAGTTTTTAAAAAAAAAAAAAAAAAAAAAATGGTCGTGTAAATAGATGATTAATAACTAAATAGTAGTGCGAACAACCTGATAATAATAATATTATTATTATTATTATTGAAAAAAAAAAAAAAAAATGTATTTAAAAATTGAAAAAAAGTTTTATTTTGTGTTGAAAAAAACTTGAGTGTTGATGAAAAAAACTGTTTTTTTGTTTTTCGTCATCGTTAAAAATTAATAAATAAAAAGGAAAATAAAAGGAAAAAAAGAAAAGAAAAATTAAAATGGCAGCGCTTCCGCGTAGTTAGTTAGTTTGTTTTTTTTTTTTTTAGCTAATTTAGCTCTTTTTTAGTTTTTTTTTTTTTTTTTTATTAATAGTTAAATCAAATTAATTGATTTTAGTTTATTATTATTATTATTTTTCTCTTGTTATTTCTGTTATTGTTTGTTATACATATATATATATAAGTAATTATTATTAGTTTATAATAAATATGGAACCACAAATGAGTGAATTAGAAGGTTTCGAACCGCAAACAAGAGCCAGATCGAATACCTGGCCGCTACCTAGACCTGAAAATTATGCTGATATCGATATTAAGGAGGAGGAAAATGGAAAATGTCCTCCTCACATCGATTCCGGTAGGTATAAAAAAAAAAAAAAAAAAAATTTACAATTTAAAAAAAATGTGAATGAGTGCGTCAAAACCTTTGAAATTGTTTAGGCTACGTACACGTCGAGGTGGCGGTGAGGGTGACGGTGGTGGTGGTAGTGGGGGGAGTGGTGAAGGTGATGGTACGAATCCTTATTAGGTATGAGTCGAATGTCAGCGAAAAAAATTTTTTTTTTTTTTTGCCATTTTGTCGCGAAGACGTTCGGTTGTGAGTCATTGGGAATTCAGTTTCTGAACGATCAGTGGCGTAAACCCACAACGTTTAGGTTAGTCGACGAAATTTAATTCCCCCGTTTATAAAAGTTTATTACCCCGTCGGTATATTCGAGTGCATACTACAACGTACCTGCCAGGTTCAAATTTGTCCGTTTCGTAATTTTTTTTTTTTTTTTTGTACACTCGAAAGGGTTCGCGCGGTAGGTTCGAAGTAAAAGGAATTTTTTTAAAAATAATTTCAGGCGTACTTTAAACAACTAAACGCGGAAAATTACACCGGAAACGCTACCAGTTATTATTATTATTATTATTATTATTAAAATTTACCTGCCGCGTGTGCCTGAAAGCGTTTTTTTTTACTCAACAACACCTTCCTTCGTTCGTTCTTGCTACGTAAGCATACACGCGCCGATTCTTGTTTTTAGGTATTCGCTGGAAGGTGTATCACAAAACGAAGGTTAACAAAGGTTTTGACCGAATTCCATTGAAAAATTTCGTTTTTTTTTTTTTTTTTTTTTTTTAATATTATTATCATTATCATTAATTTTTTTTTTTTTTCTCCACTTTATTAATTTTTATATAAGAGTTTGAATAATAATAATAATAATTTGTCGCCCAATAATAATAATTTTTTTTTGTTGTTGTTCAGGTTGCGTCGGTGTAATTGGACCTCAGTTGGACGGGTCATTGCTTGGCGTTCAGCTTCCAGCTCCGGGAGCGAAAAAAAATTCTTCCAGAAGAAACGCCTGGGGTAATTTGTCGTATGCCGATCTCATCACGCAAGCGATTGCTAGTGTACCTGAAAAGAGATTAACTCTATCTCAGATATACGAGTGGATGGTACAAAATGTTCCATATTTCAAAGATAAAGGAGATTCCAATAGTTCGGCCGGATGGAAGGTAAATACATTATCATTATTATTATTATTTTCTTTTTTGTTCTTTGGTTGTTGGTTTTGCTGCTGTTCCTGTTCCTGCTCTTGCTGTTGTTGTTCCTGCGGGACGCGTACCTCGAATGAAACCCTCGAGGTTAAAGAATGTCGATCTGCTACCTTAAAAACTCTTTCTTACCTCGTTCCGATTATTATTATTATTATTATTATTATCTTTATAACCAGTTGTAAATCTCTCGAACAATATGAAAGTCAATTTTTAAAAATGATGTCCGTTTCATTATTATTATTATTATTATTATTATTATTACCATCATCGATAACGAGTAATGGGAAAAATATCATACTCGTGAGGGCAGGTCACGAACGATTTATATTTACATTAAATTGACAAATTTTGAAAAAAAAATTTTTCCCGCGCTTTTTTTTTGCCGCGCATTTTTTTTTTTTTTTGTCTTTCCGGCAAATAAAAAAAAAAATTTTTTTTATTCGAAAATAATTAATTACGATTATTATTATTATTATTATTATTATTATTATTATTATTATTATTATGGGACTGACATCATTCGTACGCGTAACTCGTTAAATTTTATTTCTTATTAATTAGTCGACAATAATAATAATAATAATAGCGATAATGATAATGATGATTAGTATTAATATTTGTGCGTCGTCGTCGTTCTTTGATTACGTGACACTTAAGCGCCTCATTGGAACCATTACGAATGATAATGCGATCGGGTGGGGGGGTACGGGTGGGACGGAGAGAGGACAGGGGGGTGTTTGCCGCTACGTTTGCCGTTGCGGCAAACGGTTTTTTTCGAAATCCTTGCGAAACAAATTTATTTATATAAAAAATAAATTCTTTTTTGTGAATATTCTGTCTCGTGACAGAGCTTTAAGGCGTATGAATATTTCGAAATTGAGCCGTCGCTCGTCGTGACCGCAACTCGGGCTTAGGTCAGGACGTAGTCTCTCTCTCTCTCTCTCTCCCTCTTTCTTTACGTACCAGGTCCAGTCCGTAGCTTTGGAATTTCTCTTATCATTATTATTATTATTATTATTTCTTTCTTTCTCTTCTTTAAAGCCGTGAAATAACGGACCCGTTAAGAAGAAGATGAAGAAAAAGCCGAATCCGGTTGTCCGAACTAGTTTTTTTTTTTTTTTTTATGCGTACAAGGAAGTTTTAGTTGGTTGATTTGTCGGTTGTTATCTTATCACACTCCCTCGAATTAATAATATTGCTCGAAGCCATCATCATCATCATCATCATTATCATTATCATTTAAATCGGAAAGCTTTCTTCGGGTTGAAGGTTAACCTTTGGCGCCTTCCGCTATTTCCAATATTTTTTTTGTAGCGAAAATGAAATTTTCTCGATGGCATTTTGTTTTTCCTTCACGACGCACGTATTAAACACGTATTTATTATTATTATTATTTTAACTCTTTCTTAAAGACCCCCCATCCCACCCCACCCCCCGAAAAATTTTTTTTTTAAATTTTAATTTTAACTGACGGCCATTTTTTTTTCTTTTCTTTTTTTTTTTTTTTTCTCTCTCTCGAAAATGTTAATTCAAGTTTTTAACAGAAATTTTTAATTAATTTCTGCTATTAATTATTATTTTAAAAAGTCTTACGGGTACGGATACCTGTTTTTCTCTCTCTCTCTCTCTCTCTTTTCTCAGGATTTTAAATACGTACTCGATCGATGTACCTGAAAATTTTTATACGCGTTTTGAGTTTTGTGTGTGTGTGAGTGTGTATAGTTTGGGAGTACGCGGCGTAAAAAAATCGTCTCGCAAGGGAGGGTGGGGGAAAAGGAAGGGAGGGGAAAGGGGTGGAAGGGGGGAAAAACGCAAAAGGCGCATGCGTTAACGCGACCGATAATAATTATAATAATAATAATAGTTTTTATTATTTTCCCGTGGAAAAATTTCAAACCGTGAATTATGAAATAGATTTTTTTTTTTTTTTTTTTTTTAAGGTCGTAATTTTTAAAATTCAAGGTAAATAATAATGATAATAATGTTATTAATTATTATTATTATTATTAATAATATTATTATTATTAATATTATTATTAACATTATTTTGTAATAATGATAATAATAATAATAATCGATCGGTCGGTCGGTCGGTCTATTTCTGTCGGGTATAAGAAAAATTAATTGAAATTTTTTTTTTTTTTTTTTTCGGTTGTTTTTGGGAAAACAAATTCATTGACCACCACCACCACTCACTCCTACCTTGTAACCATTTTTTAAAAAATTTTATTACTCTTTAAGATAAAAATTTATTATTAAAAGAGTAATTAATTACCCTTTTCTTTCTTTACAAAAAAAATTTATTGTTATTACTAGTGAAAACGTTTGGAAAAAAATTAACGTTCGATTGTTTCTCTCTCTCTCTCTCTTTCTCACCTCTCGAAGAAAATTTTTCTTTTTTTTTTTTCTTTTTTCCCCCTCATTTTGCGGAGGTGGTAGTCGAGACTTGATTTGATTTATTGACTCACGTCGTTCTATATGGGATTGTATCACTAAAAAAAAAAAAAAAAAGCCTTGAAAAGCTCCTTCTAGAAAAAAAAAGAAAAAAAAAAATTTTTTTTTTTTCCTACTACGATATTATATACCGAAAAGAAAAACCTCGAAATGATTCGTTTTCTTACTAGTTCGCCTCCTTTTTTTTTTTTTTTTTTTTTTTTTTCTTCTGCTTCACGTTTTTTCCCAATCGTATTTTTTTTTTTTTTTTTTTTTCAATGTTACTAATTTTTTTTCCTTTGATTTAAACCGCTTTTTTTTTTTTTTTTATACTCATTATTAAATAGTTGACGGGTATTTTTGCGAGTTTGAGTAGGTACTATCGTTTTCATTCCTTTAATGTTTTTATTTAAAATGGCAATCAAATGGGAAAGAAAAATTTGACGATTTGATTTGTAATGTGACGAAACATTTAATTAGAGAGAAAGAGAGAGAGAGAGAGAGAGAGAGAAAGAAAGAGAAAGACACGGAGACAGAGAGAGAGAGAGAGAGACGTACGGAAACAGCGAGAGAGAGTCACACACAGGAAGACAAAGATAGAGACACACACTCAGAGACAGAGACAAAGAGACACACACACACACAGAAATAGAAAGGGAAAGAGACACACAGAGATAGAAAGAGAGCGACACACACACAGAAATAGAAAGAGAGAGAGAGAGAGAGACACACACACAGACAGAGAAAGAGAGAGAGAAAATTAGTTCTTTAACTTATATTTGTATTCGTTTTATTATGACTACAAACAATTTATTTTTTTAATTTTTTTTTTTTTCGGTTCGGACATTTTAATTGAAATAATAATAATAATGATAATAGTAATAATGATAATAATAATAATAATAATGATAATGATAATTTTCACGCGAAAAAACTCGGTTAAATTGTTCAAAAAGGTATTCGGAAAAACATTTTTACATCAAAATGCGCGTGTAACGAGTATTTGTAATTATCGGTCACGAACAGTGGTGCCAACCTGAATCGTTCGATACGTTGCACATTGAAATTTTATCTGTTGCAATTATACTTGTTTTTGTCTTCTGCTGTTTTTTTTGTATTCTGCTGTTTTTTTTTTTGTCTTCTGCTGTTTTTTTGTCTTCTGCTGTTTTTTTTTTTTGTTTTGTTTTTCGGTTAGTTTTTGAAATTGAAAAAATCACTCTGTCGTGTCGTTGTTGTTGTTGTCGTTGTTGCTGTTGCTGTTGCGGCTGCTGTTGTTTTTCTCTTTTGTAACGAGTTTTTATTATAAAAACAAATTTTTTTTTTTTTTTTAAAAAAAAAAAAAACTTTCGTCTTTCGAATTGAGAGTTTGTACTGATATGTACGTATGTGAAAAAATATTTTAAATTTGTTCCATTTATTATTATTATTATTATTTCTCTCTCTCTCTTTCTCTTTCTCTTTCTTTTAGCCAAATAAAAAACAATAACAAAAAAAAAAAAAAAAAAGAATCCGTCATGTTGCCTTTTTCTTTTTTTTTTTTTCGAGAAAAATTTCTTTAATAAAGATTTTGAATTTGCATAAAAACAAATAAGTTTTATATGGAATTTTTTTGTTTGTTTGGGGGGAGAGGGAGGGGGGGAAAAAAAATTCTAAAAAAAAAAAAAATATATCGCGTGTGTGAGGGTAAAGGAGGGTAGGATTGAGTAGGGAGAGAATGAAATTTCGATAGTTTTCGTTTCCACAAATTTTTTTTTTTTTTTTTTTTTTGTTTTCCAGTTTTTTTCCTGAAATGTAAAAAATTTGAAATCAAACACGGCGTTGGGGGGGGGTTGGGGGGGGAGAAATTTCAAAGTGAAAAACAGAATCATCCCCGAATCTGAAAAATTAATTCCATCTGCGGTTTTCAATCATCTTCTCCTTCTTCTTCTTTCATTTTAATAAAAATTTTCCTTTTTTTTTTTTTTTGTCTTCTGCTGTTTTCTTTTTCCTCTCGTTTTCGTTTTCCCATATGGAAAAAAATTCAAATAAGTAATATTTTTACGTTTTTTTTTTTTTTTTATTCTGTTTATATTCGAAACTTTCTTCTGCTTTCATTTCATTAATCAAACGCATTATTATTATTATTATTATTATTGTGGATTTTATGCGTGCGGTCATTTTCTCTCTCTCTCTCTCTCTCTTTCTGGAACTTTTTTGTTAAAATTAAATTACGCATTAAAATACGAGCCGATAAGAAAAAAAAAAAAAAACGCTTAGCGAGCGCATCATAATGTTAAGACCTTGATTACGTAAGAATAAAACATCCGATCGGGAACTCGTTTCTCTCTCTCTCTCTCTCTCTCTCTCTCTCACATTTTCATCTTGTCCAGAATGGGTTTTTCCTTTTTCCTCTGTATCTTGTGGACCGACATACGCGGCGGTAAGGTTTCATTTAAAAAAAAAAAAAAAAGAACAGGTACGATGATAAAGGTGAGAAACAAATGAAAAAGACACTCGCAACAAGTCGTTTGTGTTAAAAAACCTGATTATTTGCATTTTTTTTTTTTTTTTGTCTTCGATTTGCGAGAATGGGATAGGAAAAAAAGAGGAAACAAACGCGCGGAATGTTTGTACGAACGAACAAACGAACAAACAAAATACGTACGAATGGAAAATGAAAATGGTTTGTTGGTTGTTACGCGACCTTAAATTTTCAAAAATAAAATACCTTAATAATTTATTCAAGACTATCCGGTGGGTTAAAATAAAG